TCTTCTACCCAGAAGTAAAAAGCTTTGCACAGGAAACCATCAACAAAACAAAAATGCAACCTCAGAATGGGAGAAGTTAAGCACAAATGATTTCCCTGTTAAGGGGTGATATCCAAAACATATAAAGAACTTAAACAACACAACACCCAAAAAACCCAAAAAGTCCAATTAAAAAATTGGCAGGGGATTATAAACACGAATAAACACTTTTCCAAAGAAGGCATACACATGGCCAACAGACACATGAAAAGATGCTTTATGAAATTCTTTTTTTTTTTTTAAGATTTTATTTATTTATTTGACAGACAGAGATCACAAGTAGGCGGAGAGGCAAGCAGAGAGAGAGAGAGAGAGAGAGAGGAGGAAGCAGGCTTTCCGCTGAGCAGAGAGCCCGACGCAGGGCTCGATCCCAGGACTCTGGGATCATGATCTGAGCTGAAGGCAGAGGCTTTAACCTGCTGAGCCACCCAGGCGCCCTGCTTTATGAAATTCTTAAAACAGTCTGGGCCACTCCTGTCTTAGGGTGTAAAACCTCTGCCCTGGTTGTTCCTCTTCCTGGAACACTTTATCCCCAGATATCCCCACCACTCACTCCAGTGACTCTAAGTTTTTGTTCAGGTCTCTCCTTCTCAGTGAAGCCCACTCTGATGAGCCTGTTTAAAATTGGAACTGCCTCCAACCTTTTTTTGACCCTGTCTTATTTTTCACAGCACTTACCTCTTTCTAAGATACTATGCTCCTAATACAACCTATTATGTTTGTTTTCTATTGTCTGCCTTTCTTCTCACCCTCCCCACTAAACTGTAGCTCCACAAGGGCAAGGATCTTTACTGTTTTGTTCATAACCTAATAAATATTTGTTGAAGACAGCCATTTCCTGAAGCATTTAAATCAAAACTAATTTCAGAGCACCATCTAGTGTTTCTTGGAAGGAGGTGCTTGCTACTTAACCCTGAGACTCTTTTTTACATTAGCCGAATGATAAACTCTACTGGTTTAATCAATTCTCATTTACTCTATTTTTTACTGTCCTCTGTGGTTCTGTGAAAATTAAAATTTTTCATGACTGTTTAAGTCATGGGACACATTGACTTCTTTCAGAGTAATCTCTTCTTCACTGACTTGCCTGTTGCCCACTAGAATTCCTCGGGGTTAAAAGTGTCATGGGGGTTTGAAGTCTTTTAGCCTTAGGGCATCTCTCCTTCCTCACTTCCAAAAAAAAACCCAAGATATAAAAACAGGGTAATAACCTTTGCTTTGAAATGGTTCCCTTTCACCATCCTCAACTGGAACCAAAAACTCTTTTCCTAAGTGTTTACATGACTCTTTAAATTTTCTAAAATACAAACTTATTTGGGCAAGGGAAATGGTTATTCTCTATTTAAAAAAAGATTTCATTTACTTATTTATTTACTTATTTCTTCTTCTTCTTCTTCTTCTTCTTTCTTTCTTTCTTTATTTTTTTTTAGAGAGGAGGAAGGGGCAGAGAAAGAGGAAAAGAGATTCTTAAGCAAGCTCAATGCCCAGGACCAAGCCCCATGTGAGGCTTGATCTCACAACCCTGAGATCATGGCATGATCTGAAAATAAGAGTTGGACGCTTAGCTGACTGAGCCACCCAGGCACTCCAAGATTTTATTTTTAAGTGACCTCTACACCCAACGTGGGGCTTGAACGCACAACTCTGAGATCAAAAATCACATGCTCTACCAACAGAGCCAGACAGGTGCCCCTAGCTAGTCTCCTTTTTGGATACAGATTTTCAACACGTGCTTTGAAGATTATCTTTGAACTCATCTGGGGAAATTCCCAGCCCCACCTCTGACCTACTGCATTAGAATCTCCCAGCTGGGCTCAAGAATCTATATCCTAACAACCTCCCGAAGATAAATTTTGCATGTACATGAGTTAGGTAACCACTAATGTATGGGGATAATTTTGAACAGTAAAGCACCAGCATCCTTGGGGTTGTTGGGTTCTTTCCTATTATAGACCACAGACCAGAAATTCAAGGAATATCATGTAAAAACCTAATTATGAGAAGATCAAATATAATTTTAAGAGGCTAATAATTAACAAATCTATTTACAAGATTATATGTCCTTTTGTTGTAAATTATATGGAAACATCTCAATGAATTATATGTGTGAAACGTCTCAAAGAATTCTTTAGTGGGTGTTGTTTAATCCTGCCTTGCCTTCCATAAAATTATCCAGCTGGCCAAAGTTTTTACCATCCTACCCACAGGAGTCTCCAGTAACCCTTAAGGCATTTTCTGAACAAGCTTCGTTTCCTGTATAAAAGGAACTGAGCTTGGTCCACTGTACAAAATTTAGTCTGATTAAAGGGGTTACCAAAGTAGACTGTGAGTTCCGTAGTTTTAGAAATGTTTTTAAAATAGTAAATACAATTATCTTTTTGAATGAGAGTAAACAATAGCCCAAAGAGAGGATCCAAAAAGAAGGCCTGGTAAGATTCTTTCTAGTTTCGTAATTTGACTAAACTGCCTCTCCACACAATTGAAAGTCAACTTGTTTGTGTTTGTTTCATTTTTTAAAAGCCCCTCCCACATCTATTTCATTTTTTCTGATTGGCTAAACTTGGCAAGAATTTCTTGCTACTCCCTCATAACTGCTTGAGAATCCTTTACAAAAATACAGTTTAGATGAGCAGAAATACAAAAAAAAAAAAAAGGAAACCACTTAACTTGGTGATAATACGCCACCCAGATAACTCAGATACCTAACAGAATTTTTCATTGAATTGTTTGGTTTGGCCAAGTCAACTGGCCAAACCCCATCAGTTACAACATATAATTACTCTTCTTTCTTACACTTGTTTTTACTTGTCACTTACTCTTGATTCTTATCAGTTGCTACAATCTTTCTTCTCCTTCATTTATAAGCTAAATCATAGCTTATAAGAAGGTCATTTACTTTGAAAAATCTTTCTTCTTTAGAGCCAGGTTGCATGTCACTGTCCTCACAGAGCAGAAAACAAATACCAAAGCAAAGAGCTGGGTTGTTGGAATCTGTAAGATGCTGAGTACTTTGAAGCAGCTGGGAACCAGTAACTCTAAGAACTGATTACAAACCACCTTTCCAAAATTAAAAATCTCTTCTAGAAGGGTTTGTGGTTAACAAACAATATAAGGAGAGAACTCTTATTTAAAGCTTATTACACTAAGAATAATTCTGTGAAATGATATTGCAATCTATTTGGTAAAACTTTTATTTCTTTTTATTTTTTTCAAGATTTTTATTTATTTGACAGAGGCACAGCAAGAGAGTGAACACAAGTGAGAGAAGGAGAAGTAGGCTTCAGGCCAAGCAGGGAGCCCAATGCAGGGCTTGATCCGGGGACCCTGGGGTCATGACCTGAGCTGAAGGCAGGCTCTTAATGACTGAGCCACCCAGGTGCCCCTATTTGGTAAAACTTTTAAAACCAGATTTTATCTTGCCTTCAAGAGGTCATGGGAAAATCTATCATTTTAGTCTTGAATATGTAACTTCCGTTCCTGTTCCCATATTTGGGTTTGTTCTACTGTATCTGGATGTATTCCAGTTTATCTGTGGAACCAGGCAACTAATAATCTTTACTCAGCATTTCTTATATTTCTCGAGTGAAAATGGAATGGATTGACTGGATTAATGGCCAGAGTTTTATTTATTTTAACGCTTTTTAAAAAATATTTATTTATTCGACAGACAGAGATCACAAGTAGGCAGAGAGAGAGAGAGAAAGAGAGAGAGAGAGGTGGAAGCAGGCTCCCCGCTGAGCAGAGAGCCCAGAGCAAGGACCCTGGGATCATGACCTGAGCTGAAGTCAGAGGCTTTAACCCACTGAGCCACCCAGGTGCCCCTGATTTTGTTAAAATTTTTAAGTGATGTCTACACCCAATGTGGGCCTTGAACCCACAACTCCAAGACTGAGAGTCCCATGCTTTACCAACAGAGCCAGCCAGGTGCCCCAAATGGCTAGAATTTTACAAGGCCCTTATGATTTTGCTTTTTTTTTTTTTTTTTTATACTGATGAAAACTTCTTATAACTCTATAGAGAAATAAATGAGGCAGTGTGAGGTTGGGGAAGAAGGACAAAGAACCAGAAGTTCCAATCCAGACCAGGTTCTAGAATTAGGGCTTCACTATTATCTACTGTAAAATTAGAGGCTGAAGAAGCTATTTAAAACTTCTTCCAAAACTTTTTGACCTAACAGAAATGCTAATCAGTTACCGACATAATTAACCAGTGTATCCAGATCTTTAAAAGATGTTGTCATTTGCGATTTAAAAGAAATACAGGGGGAGTCTGAATTGAGGAACGACAGCCCTTCAAGGCCAGGTAAGAAGTGATGAACTGACAACAAATCACATGTTTTTAACTGAACATACTGATACCCAAGTGTCCGGTAAAATAATTTCGAGTCTACTGTCCGTGAATCTACTGGTAGGCCCTATTAGACACAACTTGGGGTTTCACAAACATCTGAGGTAGCCAGCACCATTTCGCTGGAGGGTGTGGGGTGGGGAGTAGACGGGACGCTCCGGGCAGGGTTGGAACGTTGTAATTTAAAGCAACTAAGAAAGGCCCCCGGCAGTAGGGCCTCTTCCGCGGTCTGGTGAAAAATGCTGCAGGAGAAGGAAAGCCGCCCCACACTCCTACTGTGGTCCTCCTCAAACGAGGCTCTAGTTCCCGGAAACCTTCGCTGTCGGAGGTGTGGGCTAGACGGTCCCCTACAATTTACATCAAAACGCGCGGGCAGGGCATAAGGTCCTTCCAAGCAATCACCACAGCCCCCAAGGCCACGGCTCACCGCACAGCCCCGCGCAGCAGAGGAGTCTCTCGGCCAACCCCGCCGCGCTGACGGACGTCGCCGCGAGCCAATGGGTGTTCCGGGAGGCGGGGCAGCGCGGCCGAGGGGGCGGGATTTCCCGCGCGGCCGCTCGGCGCCTGGCAAGAGCGGCGCGGGCGGCGACGGCGGACGCGCCTGTAAGAGAGGGCGGGTCGCGGTCAGCTGCTGCAAGCGGACGGGCGGGTGCGGCGAGCTGTGGGCGGCTGCCGTGTCTCCGGCCGCCGCCCTCCCTCCGCCACGATGCCGGGAATCGACAAGCTGCCCATCGAGGAGACGCTGGAGGACAGTCCGCAGGTGAGGAGCGGGCGGCGGCGCGAGGCGAGGGAAGGAGCAGGGCGGGCGGACCCCAGGCCTGGCGCCGCGGCCGCTGCAGGTGCCCGCCTCCGCCCAGGTGGGCGCCGTCGGCCAGTGTCCCCGCCCGTCGCGGGCCGCGCCCCGAGCCGCCGCGGCCCGGCCGCCAGCCCGAGGCCCGCGTAGGCCTGTGCGGCTGGGCCGAGAGGCACGCGCGGGGTCTGGGACGTCGGCGGGCGGCGACCGAACCTCCGCCGCCTTCGCTCGTGTGCCCGGCGGTCACGTACGTTTCGGGGCTCCCTTGTATTTGGCGAAAGGTGCGTTTTTATCGCCTGTAAGGTCATAAATGCCAGTCCCGGGATTTCCTCCCCGAAGGTCTCTTCGGAGGAAGGACAGAAGGAGGAAAACAAAAACAAAAAGAAACCGTAGACTTATTCCATGATTTTTGAGCAACCTAGGGAAGGAAATGGATAGTTTTTCTTCGGGAGATGCTGGAAGGCTGCTGGTTTGCCCGCGTGGAGAGTCACCGGCGAAGTCCTTCATGTGGTTCGGAGCCTCCCCGCGGACTGTGCAGTGTTGTGGCCGCGACTGTAATCTGCTGTCACTCGAGCTGTGCACGGCTTGTGATGGACGGCGCCTTCGCGGCTCCAAGACTGCTGCGCGGAATGATGCAGACTTGGCCCTAATAAACTCATCAGAATAAAATCCCGTGTTTCCGTGCTTTGGGGGGATAATGCCGCTGTGGCTGCTCTCGCCTCAGGCAGTCTAGGGAGATGTAACAATTTGTTACGGGTTCACTATTGAAGAATGAGATGAGTTCTGTTAAAAACATGTAGGTAGGCGCTGTAAGTTGGGTCGAGAAACACCATCCCTAAGCCTTTTTTACACGATTTAAGCGATTTAAGGCGACGATGTTGCTGGTTGGCTACCTCTGAAATGCTGTTTATTCAGAACTGCAGTTGCACATGTTTCATGTGTGTCTTGATAGTTTAATATGACCCCAAAAGATGAGGAAGAAGGGGCTGGATCCCCCTGGCCTGTGTGATGTGTGTCATGACTTTGTGCCAGTTTTAATTGCCAAGTGGAAGTCAGGCTCTGATTGTGGACTTGATTCCCCCCCCCCACCCAGGGGGAGAGTTATCTTCACAAGCCAGTTTTTTGCTGTAATGTTCTCTTATCAGCCTAAACTGAAACAGAATAAACCCCACATCTTGATTTATCTTGACTGCCAGTATAGCTAGTTCAAGTTCTTAATGATTTCTGTAGTGGAAAGTTAGAAGCTATGTTTGTTTCAGATGTTTTGTAAAAATTTTGTGGCATGTATTGTTCAGGTGCACTTTGTCACTTTACTACTGTTATATAAGACTCAGCAGGTTGCCTTACCTTTCTTACCTGGCCTGGTTTTTATAGCCCATAAAGATTATACACAGTCCAGAATGGGTAGCACAGTGCCCTTGCCATGACTTGTGTGGAGGATATGATCTGACTCATCAGACTAATTTCTTGTACTTTTCACACAGTGAGTTTACAACTTGAGCATTCATTGTTTTTTTTTACAAGTACATGCCATACTGGTTTCAGTATTATAGTAATTTTTAATGAAAATAGCCACCTTGATATTCTTTCAATTTCTGTAAGTAATAATTTGAACTAGGTATTATTTACTTGGAAAAATTAGTTGGGACAACTGAGATTTAGAAAGGGAAGATGCTTGGAAGTAATACTTAGGGAGAACTTGTGGTAGGATGGAAAGCCCTGGATTCTGAGGTTCAGGATGGAGTTTTAGTCTTCACTGCCACTTCACTTTAAGGAAAGTCTGTCAACTTCTCTGAATCTCAGCTGTTATAGCGAGTGTTTTTATTTTTGAACCTAATTATAAAAATCATAGTTACGTGCTTTAGAAAAATTGGAAGGTATAGAAACACAGTTACCTGTCCTGTACCCAGCAGCAAACCCTATTAAACAATTTTTCCTTGTTTTCTTTTATATATTTTAATGTATTTAAAGTTCTCTGTGCATAACAATTTTTATTCAGCTTTAACTTAACATTGTAATGTAAATATGTTCACATATTATTAAATTCTGAATAAAAAAATTTGAAAGTTGCATGTTTCCTTAAGTGACTTAACAGTTGTCCTACTGTTGGACTTCAAGAGTTTTCCACAAGTTTTGTCTTATATATAGGACTGAGGTTAATGCTTTGAGGCATAAATTTTTGTTGTCATATGGACTGTTTATCTAGGATAGAGTCCAAGAAGTCAAATAACAGAAATAATGTAGATAGGTTTCTATTTAGATCATTTGATCCTAGTCAAAAGTGTCCTGTCAGTTGCTATGTAAAAAAGTTAGAACCTGGAGTCATAGAAGAGTATCCTAAATCGCAGTTACCCATTTTTAGTTTTGATTTATAGTAAGTGTTAAAATAGAGGGCTATTTGCAAGTTCAAATCTAGTTGATTGGATATAAACATCTTTAGAATTTAATCTCCCACTCTGCAAAAGAGCGTATTTATTGAGACAGGAAATCTTTAAGGCTACACTAGATGTCTTGTCCATAGTTATATATTGTTTTGAAAATCTGGAGCAAAATGAAACTTGCTGGTTAATAACAGATATGATCTTTTAAAAATGATTGATTTTATGTATAGATAAATATCAGTGATTCATCAGTGCTAGAACTAGGAAGATAAAACTCTAGTCCCAATTGAAGACTTCTTTCTTTGACATAATATGGAATATATTCACAGATTATGAGACCTACTTTTTTTTCCTTTTTCCACATCTTGACATGTCTGATACTGAGATAGATGCCCCCCTACAGTTGACAATTTATTTGTAGTTGGTTGCAAATGTGCACACATGATTGTTTCTCCTAGTGGCATGACTCGTCAAGTGCGGCCTTTCCGCATTCAGCAACTCAATTTAACAGCCACTTGAAGGACCATCAGTCCTGTTCTCTGAAAATACTCCTTTGACTCCTACAATGAAGCCAAGTGCCACCATCAAAATTTGCTGAATGGGTATCAGTGGTTTGGAAAAAAATGCTGGGGACAAAAGTGGAACACTTCTAAGAAATATTTATCACCCCCATGGCACAGAATAATACTGGGTGAGAAAACATGGATATTGATTCTTAAGTCAAAAAGTGACTCGGGGCGCCTGGGTGGCTCAGTGGGTTAAAGCCTCTGCCTTCGGCTCAGGTCATGATCCCAGGGTCCTGGGATCGAGCCCCACATTGGGCTCTCTGCTTGGCAGGGAGCCTGCTTCCCCCTCTCTCTCTGCCTGCCTCTCTGCCTACTTGTGATCTCTGTCTGTCAAATAAATACATAAAATCTTAAAAAAAAAAAAAAAAAGTGACTCACAAGAATTGAACTCTGAAAAAATGTTAGGATAATATTAAATTTATGCTGTTTGTGTTTTCCTTTTATGTTCATAGGAGTTGTATATCAAATTCTGTCTAAGGGTTCATTTCCACAAATATAAAGTCAAAGTTGAAAGACCTAAGAAAACCTCAAATGATAGCTTAATTGCTGGCATTGTTTTATTTAAGTAGTATTTAAAAATGGTGCAGGGGGTGCCTTGGTGGCTCAGTCGGTTAAGCATCTGGTTAAGCATCTGACTCTTGGTTTTGGCTCAGGTCATGATCTCATGGGTTGTGGGATCTAGCTCTGTATCAGGCTCCATGCTCAGTGGAGAGTCTGCTTGAAGATTCTTTCCCTTTGCCCCTCTTCCCATTGGTGTGCACGTGCGTGCACGCTTGCTCTCTCTCAAATAAATAAATCTTTTTTTAAAAAATGGCACAGCTCACAGTGGATGCCATTATAGATTCGATGAAATGGTATATTAATGTACTTTTATAAAGTGCTAACTGGATATTACTTTTATTTTTTTTTAAATCTTTTAAAAAGATTTATTTATTTGACAGAGATCACAAGTAGGCAGAGAGGCAGGCAGAAAGAGAGGAGGAAGCAGGCTCCCTGCTGAGCAGAGAGCCCGATGTGGGGCTCGATGTGGGGCTCGATCCCAGGACCCTGAGATCATGGCCTGAGCTGAAGGCCGAGGCTTAACCCACTGAGCCACCCAGGCGCCCTGGATATTATTAGTTTTAAATAGGGAACCTGTTTTACCAGTGTTTGGGGCTAAGGAGATCTTTTTAACTTAAATGCAATGCAGGTTTTTGCATAAATGTGTAATTCTTTGAACTAGAATAATAATTTGGGGGAAACAAAAAAATGAAATGGCAGATTTTTCTTAAGAACGGCACTAATCAAAGTTTCTTGATGTTTTCTTTTTTACATCTTAAAGTAACACTTTAAGGGAATAGGAGGGGGCATAGAGCTAAAGAGTGAAATTCTGTCAGATCTAAATCTCTGGGGCATGGGAAAGAGGACTGACAACATGGATTTCATATGTGGACAAAAAGATTTTGTGCCCTCTTTTTTTTTTTTTTTAAAACCATATTGATTTAGCTTCCTTTTCCAAAAACAGGAAGCTAAGGAATAAGTTGGTTTTTTTAAAAAACACCTTCTAAGAATGAATTATTTGTAGAATAAAAATACAAGGTCATCTTTTAGATTTTAAATTGCAGTTATCTTAATAGTTGTTGGTATTTTTTTTCTTTGTCTTTGGGATATGAAAAAGTGAGTATGCTTGCCTTGATATGCTGAGTTTCCTTATCTCTGACCCTTTTTATTGACAGTCTTTAACATTTACTTACTGACACATTTTCCCCCTAAAATGAAGGGGAAATGCTTATTGCATTAAAAAAAAATGTTTAACTTGGGGCGCCTGGGTGGGTCAGTGGATTAAGCCTCTGCTTTTGGCTCAGGTCTTGATCTCAGGGCCACATTGGGGTTGTCTGCTCAGCAGGGAGCCTGCTTCCCTTTCTATTTCTGCTTGTTGCTCTGCCTGTTTGTGATCTTTCTCTGTCAATAAATAAATAAAATCTTAAAAAAGCACTTAACAATATAGATAAGTATAAAGAAGAAGAAGAAGAAAAAAAGAACCTCAAATTCTATACTCATAAAATCCAAGTTAGTGTTTACTAGGCCATGTTGGGAATGGGTACTATGTTGTTATTTTGGATTAGGGTGGGGAGGGGTTTGGCACTACAACAAGAGACCACGGAAAAAGAAATCGTACTGAATTATCCTGAAATAAGACCTCTAAAATACTTATACGTGGAATACTGTTAATTTAGCCTTGTATATTTTTGTTGATCTTAATTTAATTACAGACTTTTTAATTCATGAAAATATACCTTTGTTGTTCCTTTTGAAGTTTATGTGATGAGGGCGCTGAGTGGCTCAGTCAGTTAAGCGTTCAGCTCCTGATTTTGGTCAGGTCATGATCTCAGGGTTGTGGGATAGAACTGCGCTGGGCATGGAGCCTGCTTGAGATTCTCTCTCCCTCTGTCCCTGCCCTAAACAAATAAGTAAAAATAAATTTTGTGTGATGTAGTTGGAAAATCCCTCCATTTTAGTGAAGTGAAATTGAGAACAAAGAACCCCAGCATCTTGGCATTACTATCAAAAGAGAAAATAGGTTAAGACTCAGAATTCTTAGAGCCCCAATATCCTAGGATTTTTCCTTTCTTTAGAAAATAATTTTCTATTTGATTTATATAATGGTTAATGTAAACTTACTGCTTTTATTTTATACAGACAAGGTCTTTACTGGGTGTATTTGAAGAAGATGCTACAGCTATTTCCAACTATATGAACCAGTTGTATCAAGCTATGCTGAGGATTTATGATGCACAGGTAAAGGCCTAAAGGCTAGCTGCCTTTTTTTAATGACTCTTGAAGCCTGTGAGGACAGACATAGCTAGTGCCTGCCTTGTTTAGTGGTGCCTAGCTCTATCCTGGGCTCATAGTAATATTTGTTGAGTGGATGCATGAACTTTTTTTTTTTTGGATGCATGAACTTTTAAGTATTTTGTATTAAAGCTCACTTTCCAATTACTAGTGTATACTTTGCAATGCTACAGAAGAGATGAAGATTGAAACATCTTCCCCTTTTTACCCAGACATAGTAAGAACTTTCTTACTGAAACTTACTGATCATGATCTTAGCCAGGATTTGACTGAAAACCCCATATGGTCACCAGGGTTTTCCCTAATTGTGCTTTTAATCTTACTGAACATTTCCCCCTTTTTGAGTAAAGGATTGAAAGTAGTTTATGTTTAGTGAGAAGCAGATAATAAAAATTGGATGTAACTCTGGGTACTGGGAGATGAATTTAAGGAGATGACTAGATTGTTTTGTTGAGCAGGTTTAAGATTTGAAGCTGTGTTTATGTAACTTAATTATAAGCCTTACCAGCAACCTGGGTTCTATGATAAGCTTTCTTAGGGATTAATTAGGTGTACAAGTCCCCCCCCCCGTCTCATTTTACCTCCTTTCTGGACTCACATTTGCATTATGTACTAAAAAGTTGCTCTGAGGGGTGCCCAGGTGGCTCAGTCAGTTAAGAGTCCAACTCTTAATTTTGGCTCAGCTTATGATCTCAGGGTTGTGAAGTCATGACCCACATCAGGCTCTGTGCTCAGCTCCAAGTCTGCTTGGGATTCTTTCTTTTCTTCTGCCCCTCCTCCAAGTCATGTGCCTGTACACTTTCTCCCTCTGTAGGTAAAAATCTTTTAAAAAATGAATTAAAAAGTTGTGGGATAGTTTTAAATTTTTTTCCTTGCAATTGGTCTCTCAAGATTTGACTCCTGACTACAGAGATTACTGTGTAAAAGAAATGTTAATTTTGTCATTATATTCATCACTAGAAAAAAAATTTGAAAGTAATACCTTCATATTTCTGTGTTGCTGTATTACATGACTAGGCTAACCATAGTTTGGTTGTATGTTGTTAAATGTATTGGTATAGTTTCAGCACCTAGAGAGAGGAATAATTTGTCATTAATGTAGAATCTCTTAAGATTTTGCTAAGATTATGTACAGTTTACTTCTAACTTTAAAGCTTTAACAATATTTAATGCTGAGTTTTATTAGCTAAAAAAAAAAAGTACACCTAGAAGAACACTGCTGAGTTCCTTGATGGTATCTGTTTAATGGTTTGAGTTGCCCTTTAAAGTGCTTTAATGGTAGTTCCCTCTCCAGTGATTTGATGAGGGGTTTAGAGAACGCGTTATATAGCACTCATATTAAGTAAAAAACAAAAGTGGTGTAGGTATCTTCAACTAAAGCTTTTTCTTAATCAGTAATATTGTGTTAATTTGAATGCTGATTTTCCCCCCACAGAATGAATTAAGTGCAGCAACACACCTGACTTCAAAGCTTTTAAAAGAATATGAAAAACAGGTATCGTATGTGAAAATTTTAAAAGCCTAATTGAAACTATGCAGTGATAAAGTATCTGTATAAATAGAATTGCTCATCAAGAATCCTAAGCTTTTTTGAATTCATAGAAAGTAATTTTGATATGCTGTTGAAATTCCATTATAGCTCCTTTTAATTAATCTTAGGTAGAAGTTATTTAATTGACTTCTCCTCTTCTTACAAATAAGGAAACTGAGGCTTACTCATTTTATAGCTGGTTATTGGAGGAATTAGAACAAAACAAATCTTTGAACTCCTAGTATGGTATGCATTCCTATAATACTATGTTAATCAGTTGCTTAGCAAACATTTTAAGTAATGTATACTAATTGTACAAATTACACTCTTTTATTAAGTGACATTTTTAGAGTGTATTCAAAATTTTGGAAATTTGTAAAAGTTTCAGTCAATTCTTAACATGGGTTTGAGGGGTTCCTATGTGGCTCGGTTGGTTGAGCGAGTGCCTTTGGCTAGGGTCATGATCCTGGAGTCCTGGGATCTAGTTACGCATCAGGCTCCCTCCTCGGTTGGAGAGTTCTTCTCCCACTGACCCTCCCTTTTTCGTGCTCACTCGCTCTCTTTCTCTCTCTCTCTCAAATAAATGAATAAAATCTTAAAAAAATACAACAACATGGGTTTGAACTGAATGGGTCCACTTATTCATGGGTGTTTTTTTTTGGATACAGTATAGTAAATATATTTTTTCTTCCTATGATTTTCTTAACACTTTTCTCTAAAAGATTATGAAAATACCGTACATAATACATGTTATATATGAAATATGTGTTAACTGTTTACATTATTGATAAGGCTCCTGTCAACAGTCGGCTGTTAGTGAAATTTGGGGAAAGTTAAAAGTTATATGTGCAGGTCAGCACTTCTAACTCCCATGTGTTTTGAGGGTCAGCTATTTTTTTTTTTGAGGGTCAGCTATTTTTAAAAATGTAAATTACACCCTGATATGAAGAATTGGAGAAGCAATGTGGGGTTTTGGGGGGTAGGAAAGGAAAAAATGAAACAAGATGGGATCAGGAGGGAGACAAATCGTAAGAGACTCTTAATCCCACAAAGCAAACTGAGGGTTGCTGGGGGTAGGGGTTAGGGAGAGGGTGGTTGGATTATGGACATTGGGGAGGGTATGTGCTGTGGTGTGTGCTGTGAAGTGTGTAAACCTGGCGATTCACAGACCTGTACCCCTGGGGCTAATAATACATTACATGTTAATAAAAAATAAAAAATTATTAAAAAATTTTAAAAATGTAAATTACAGCATCATTCACAGAAGACCTACAGCACTGGACATTACTTCATCTCTGGTTTCTCTTTTTTTTAGCGTTTTCCTTTGGGGGGTGATGATGAAGTTATGAGCTCTACTTTGCAACAGTTTTCAAAAGTTATAGATGAGGTAAGTACTTATTTTGCTTGAGTAAGTGGTCTTATTATTAAATTATTCAAGTTTAGCTTTTATTGGGAACTTGTATTATTATGATTATATGAGCAAGTCTCTATAATTAAAGAAGGATCTTATTGGGGCACCTGGGTGGCTCAGTTGGTTGAGCAACTGCCTTCAGCTCCGGTCATGATCCTGGGGTCCCAGGATCGAGTTCTGTATCGGGCTCCGTGCTCGGCAGGGAGTCTGCTTCTCCCTCTGGCCCTCCCCCTTCTCATGCGCGCGCGCGCTCTCTCTCTCTCTCTCTCAAATAAATAAATAAAATTTTTAAAAAAAGAAGGACCTTATTTCCATATTAGTGTTGGTCTCATATCTTAGTGGATGTCTCATAAAAATAGTACTTTGTTTGATTAAAACAAATTGTTTTTGGGGATGAGCCTAGAGATGTGCTCTCTCCCCTCTTAGTCTGTGTCATTCAATCTTACACTCTTTTATCTGGTGTAGGCAGAGAGGTTAAGAGTTCAACTACGAGGGACGCCTGGGTGGCTCAGTAGGTTAAGCATCTGTCTGCCTTCAGCTCAGGTCATGAACTCCCACGTTGGGCTCCTTGCTCAGCTGGAAGCCTGCTTCTTCCTCTGCTTCTGCCTGCCTGTTCTCTCTCTTTCTCTCTCTCTCTGACAAATAAATAAATAAAACTAAAAAAAAAAAAAAAAAGAGGGGCGTCTGGGTGGCTCAGTGGGTTAAGCCTCTGCCTTCAGCTCAGGTCATGATCTCAGGGTCCTGGGATCAAGCTCCACATCAGGCTCTCTGCTTGGCGGAGATGCTTTGGCTCTCTTCCCTTTCTCTCTGCCTGCCTCTCTGCCTACTTGTTTTTTCTCTCTCTCTCTGTCCCCACCTCAAAAAAGGTTAAACTATGAGATATAGGGGCACCTGGGTGGCTCAGTGGGTTAAGCCTCTGCCTTTGGCTCAGGTCATGATCTCATGGTCCTAGGATCAAGCCCCACATCGGGCCCTCTGCTCAGCAGGGAGCCTGCTTCCATCTGTCTCTCTGCCTGCCTCTCTGCCTACTTGTGATCTCTGTCTGTTAAATAATAAATGAAATCTTAAATAAAAAAGCTATGAGATATAGCTAAGTTCTGGTTCTTTTTTTTTTTTTTTTTTAAAGATTTTATTTATTTATTTGACAGAGATCACAAGTAGGCAGAGAGGCAGGCTCCCTGCTGAGCAGAGAGCCCAATGCAGGGCTCGATCCGAGGACCCTGGGATCATGACCTGAGCTGAAGGCAGAGGCTTAATCCACTGAGCCACCCAGGCACCCCACTTCTGGGTCTTTTTTTAAGTGATTTGTTCTGATGACTGGTTAGAGAAATTAAGGGCTGATAGTGACTGTCTGGGATGGAAGGATTAATAAACTAAATGGTAAGATGTTCGTAGGAGGAAGAGGGGCAGTGAGAGCTATTTGGGGAGTCCGTTACTATTCTCAACTAGTGCAATGAAAACTCTTCTTTTTTTTTTTTTTTTTTTTTTTTAAAGATTTTTTATTCATTTATTTGACAGACAGAGATCACAAGTAGGCAGAGAGGCAGGCAGAGAGAGAGGAGGAAGCAGGCTCCCCGCGGAGCAGAGAGCCCGACATGGGGCCCGATCCCAGGACTCCGGGAACACGACCCGAGCCGAAGGCAGAGGCCTTAACCCACTGAGCCACCCAGGCGCCCCGAAAACTCTTCTTTTCATATGAGCCATTAGATAGTTCTGTCTTTTCTAGTCCTGTAACTGAAAAAGTAGTTTTTTGAAATATTTTAATAACATTATAGCAAAATATTGTCATAGTAGAGCAATATACAGAAATATTTATAGGAAATGGAATATTTTTATTCTGGTAAAATATACATAACATAAAATGTCTCCCTGGTTACATTTATACACTCACAATGCTGTGCAGCCCTCACTGCTGATGTTCCAGAACATTTTCATCATCATCCCAAAGGAAACCCTATTCCCATTAAGTAGTCACTCCCTACTTCGTCTCCCTTCAGCTCCTGGCAACCACAAATCTATTTTCTATCTGTATAGATTTGCCTGCTTTGGATATTTCATATAAATGGACTTACACAGTTTGTGGATTTTTGTGCCTGTCTTCTTTAGTATAATGTTTTCAAGGTTTGTCTGTGTTGTAGCATGTATCAGAAGGTGAATAAAATTCCATCATATGAGTATACCACTTTTTATTTATCCATTGATAGTTGATGGACAGTTGAGTTGTTTTATGCCTTTTGGCCAGTGGGAATAGTGCTACAGTGAGGGTTTGTATCTAGGTTTTTGTTTTATTTTTTTCTTGAACACCAATATTCAGTTCTTTGGGGTATATAATCACGAGTGGAATTGCTGGGTCATACAGTAATTTTATATTTAGCTTTTTGAGCCAGACTGTTTTCCACAGGTCCTATACACTTTTACATTCCCACCAGTAATGGAGGGTTCCAGTTTTTCCACGTCCTCACGAACACTTACTATTTTTTTTAAATATTTATTTATTTATTTGACAGAGAGAGAGATCACAAGTAGGCAGAGAGGCAGGCAGAGAGAGAGGGTGAAGCAGGCTCCCTGCTGTGCAGAGAGCCCGATATGGGGCTCGATCCCAAGACCCTGAGATCATGACCTGAGCTGAAGGCAGAGGCTTAACCCACTGAGCCACCCAGGCGCCCCAAACACTTACTATTTTCATTTATATTTTTATTATAACCATCTAAGCAGGTATGAAGTAGTGTATCATTGTAGTTTTTATGTGCATTTTCCTGTTGACTAATGGTGTTGAGGACCTTTTTCTATGCTTATTGGCCATTTGTATATCTTCAAAGAAATGTCTATGGTAGTACCCCCCTCCGCATCCACAGGTGATACTTTCCCCCCCCCCCCCCCAAGTGGTTACCTGAAACCAGGGATAGTACGGAACCATATAGAGTGTGTTTCCCTATACATACACATGTGATAAAGAGTAATTTATAAAATAGGCACAGTAGGTTTAACAAAATGAGAGAATAATTACTAATAAAATAGAATTATAACATTATACCATAATAAAAGTTCTGTGAATGTGGTGTGTGGGTCTTTCTCTCTTGCAAAATATATTACGGTGCTGTACTCAACCCTTCTTGTGGTGATGTGAGATGATAGAGTGCCTGCATGATGAGATGCAGTGAGGTGAATGATGGAAGCACTCCGAGGTCCCGTTAGGCTCCTATTGGCCTTCTGACACTATGTCCGAAGGAGGATCATCTGCCTCGGGACGGCAGTTGACCCTGGGTAACTGAAACTGCAGAAGGCAGCACTGTGGGCAGGGGTGAAGTGCCTGATTCAGTACTTTGCCCGTTTTTCACTTGAGTGGTTTATCTTTTATTACTGAGTTTAAGGCTTCCTTATTCTAGATACAAGTTCATTCTCAATATGTGACTGGCAAATATTTTCCCCCTTTCTGCAGGCTGTGTTTTTACTTTCTTGATATATCCTTTGCCCAAAGTTTTTTTTTTTTTTTTTTCCCATTTATTTATTTATTTATTTGACTGAGAGAGATCACAAGTAGGCAGAGAGGCAGGCAGAGAGAGAGAGGGAAGCAGGCTCCCTGCTGAGCAGAGAACCCGACGTGGGGCTCAATCCCAGGACCCCGAGATCATGACCCGAGCTGAAGGCAGTGGCTTAACCCACTGAGCCACCCAGGCACCCCTGCCCAAAGTTTTTAATTTTGATGAAGTCCAATTTATATTTTCTTTAGTTGCTTATGCTTTGGTGTCATATGTAAGAGCCATTGCCAAATCCTAGGTTATCCTATGTTTTTTTTTCTAAGAGTTTTAAATGGACTTTTTTTTTTTTTTTTACTGTATAGTATTTTGGACTATATCACATAATTTTGAATGTTCTCTTATGTAAAATGTATCACCATCTGTTTATTAGATTTTGTTTAATTTACAAACACTGGCTAAATATCTCTGTATAGTTATTTATTCAGCCATTTTGGTCTTCCTTTTACTAGCTTAGCTCTTGTCATGCAGTACTTTCAACACAGCTTGCTGATGCCATGATGTTTCCCATTACCCAGTTTAAAGAAAGAGATCTAAAAGGTAATGAAGTCAAGTTTATGTCTACTTCCATTACCCCTCAGATCAATACTTGTAAAGTGCATATTACTGTATACCTTAACCATTTCTAACTACAGCTTGTACCACTTTAATGTATCACTGGATATTTATAGAAGCTCCTGCTAGATGTTAAACTAGATACAGTAGAATATTGATATGAATACAGTTGTCTTCTGTCAAGAAAGCCTCAAGAAGGAGATGGGTAAAGTAGGTAATTAAGCTAATTCTCTAATAATTAGGGAATGAGCAAGGTGCTGTGGGGGCTCAGAGGAGGGTGTCAGTAAGGTGTCACTAAGGATGTGACATGAGCATTGAACAGTGAAGAGGCATTTGCAAGAAGAGAGTCATTGTTCCATTAGACAGACTAGAAAGCACAAAGGTATGGGTTATAGAAATAGGTGTCTTGTGGTTGACGAGAAACTCCATGTGGTTGCAATGTTGGATGTGTTGGGGTTTGACAGGAGGCGAATCTGGAACTAGATCATGCTGAAGATGTTGGACTTAAGTTTATAAGCAAAGAAGCCAATGGAGGCCTTGAAGAAGTAGATCCAATTCCTTTGGTTTTGGAGGTTAGAATAGAGTGGATTTGATGTCCAGGAAAATGGATTAGGAAGTTGTGAGAGCCCAGTGAGCTATGACCAACGCCTGACCTGTGACAGTGGCACAGGAAGTGTGTTTAGGGACTACAGTGGTGGGAGGTAGGGGTACTGGCACGTCTGGCAACCCATGACTTAGTAGTTTGTGGTGGATTTTTTTTCCCTGTTTAGGATTATTAGGTGATAAAATGAGAGTTTTATAGAATTGGCTCTGCTTTCTCATAATTTACAGTCTCAGTCATACAGACTTATTTACTGAATATGTAGAGAGAATAAAAACATTGAACTAATGTATCAGTGGATGGTAAAGTATTCAAATCATGCATGGAATAAAGACAAATGTATTTTAGAAAAGGAGTTAGTATTTATGGTGATAATTCTCAAGGATGGTCATTTCCAAGGTCAAGAAACAAGTTCCCTTTTCTCTTAGTCTGAATGTCATATCTTACTAATTTTTCTTTTTTCTCGGATTCAGCACTTGAACTTAATAGAGTGTGTATCAAAAATAAGAAGTTGGAGGCTGGTACTAAGTCAGAATATTTGAATATCTTAGAATTTGCGATGATTTTATATTTTTGTGTCACATTATTTGTGGCAAGTAGATCTGGTGGTGTAATTGTTGTTAAAGATAGTGAATGTTTCATAGACGAGCTAAAACACAGAACTTTTTCACTTTGAATGTTGAAGTATGAAATATTATTTGGAGTTTGAGTTTAGCTTAAATGGGAGTTACTGTTTTCTACACAAAATTTTAGATATTTCATAAATATGCTAAATTGAAACTATTATTGAACTTTTCCAGAAATACTGACGTTAAAGGAAGTGTTTCAGATTGCTAGTAATGGTAAGTTGTGAATACAGTTCTTTCTCATAGTGATGCATTTCTTTATCAACATAAAACTGTGGCTATATTCTATGTAATAATTGAAAAAAATGAACCTAATTTAAAGTGTAAGTGAACATTATGTAAATCAGTGCTATTTTTAAGTTTTACTAAGTTTATGCTACAAGAAAAATTAAAATGGAAACTAAATCAAATCTTGTGGTTTGCTATATTAATAATACCAGAGGAGTTGATATAATATATTCCCTTGTTTTCTTGTATATTCCAAAATTTTCTTTAGTGAACATTTGCTATTTTTGTACTAAAAAATAGTTTTTGGGACACCTGGGTGGCTCAGTTGGTTAAACATCTGCCTTTGACTCAGGTCATGAATTCAGGGTCCTGGGATCAAGTCCTGCATTGGGCTCCCTGCTTAGTGGGGAGCCTGCTTCTCCCTCTTCCTCTGCCACTCATCTTCCTTGTGCTTTCTCACTCTGTCTCTCAAATAATAAAATCTTTAAAAAAAAAAGTAAAATACTTTAAAAAACTTTTAGTGGAGTACAGTCTCCTTAGAATTGATTTTGTTTAACCAATTTAATAAGTAGAAAGATACTTCATGGGAAATTTGACTATGGGAACATTTGGGTGGAGTGAAGTATGTGTTAAAGAATTTTTATTTTATTTTGAGAATTCTTGCTTTAGCATGTTTGCTGGAAGATGCACATGTAAAGACTATTTAAAGCATTTATAAGTTTGGTAAAGTACTGTTGTATTATTGTTAATAGTTATTTTTGTTTTCCAGATCATGATGCTGCAATTAACAGATATAGCCGGTTGTCAAAAAAAAGAGAAAATGACAAGGTGTGATACATACTTACTTACTCCTTTAGTGTCACGATTGTTTCATTAGCTTTTTTTTACTAGTTTTTTTCTGTTTAAAAACAGTAGCCTGCAGTTACTTTTTATGTTTTACTACATTGCCCTTAGTTTATTCTTTCCTTCTAGTTGCTTCAAAGCCTTTCTTATAATTATCAGGCAATTAATAATTGTCTCTTTGAACAAAATATTTTTCTGCTGACAAAATTTGATAAGTAAACAGAACTATTCCAAAAGTATAATTCATGCTCAGTATATAACATTGCCTCCTTTTGCTTTGTGTTTTGATAACATTGTATGTGTTCTTTTTTTATTTGACCATGTATGTATTCAGAAGTGTCTTCTGAGATAAAGTGGTTAAAAAGTTGAATTGTTGCATACATAATTGAATGAAATTCTGTTATAAGGACCTTCTCACTATATAGATATATCTATATCTATCTATATATATATCTATAGTTTTTGATCCTTCTCCAAGGAGTGAAATCCAGAAATCTATTTTAGGAGAAATGCATTTGAGTAAAGAATAGAAACAAAGTAATTAACAAGTTCATCTAGGTGCTCCTTAAACTCTTCCCTTCCTCAGTGCCTAATCCCGGGTTTGATCATGAGACCTCCACTAGATGTTTGCAGGTGCTCTGTGTTGGTGTCTGCAGCCTTGGCTACAGGTGCTGGTAGGGGCACAGTGATCACTTGGGGGAATCCACGACTAGGTATATAATTTACTGTGCAACAGCTACTGTGACCCAGTAAATGGAAAGTTTCTCACAAAGTTCAGTACAAAGAGCTTTCCATCTCTAATTTTAGCTCACTGATTACTTGGTGCAAATATTAATAGAATACACACATTTTGAGATCTATATTACTTTGCTACTTTGCCTTAGGGAAATAGTTAAAGGGTCTAGTTATGAATTTTATTATATTTTGCATTGCTTCTGGCTGTTCCAGGTTTTTTGTTGTTATTCCAGGTGGTTTAAAAAACATTCTTTTACCAATTTTGTTTGATTTGAAAAAATTTTGAGCATCTACTCTATTTTGGGTACCATGGGGTAATAGTGCGAAAAGGCTCCACTCCTAGCCTCAGGGAGTGAATAATACACACTTAGTCAAAGACTTCCTGTATGAAGGCATGCAGCTAGAGTAGATGCCAGCGTACAAGAGTGAAGAGCACACGTGAATTAACACTGAGTTGAGTACTGTAATAGCAGTCTTAACAAAATGTTGGGAGAGCACAAACAAAGCAGCAGTTAACTTTGGTAATTGGGAAAGGCTATACTTTTAGGAGGTACTCTTTGCATTTAGAATGAGTGAACGTCACTGGTTTAGGGTTAAGGAGTGGGCATTCCTGGAAGAAAAACAGTCTTTGCAGAAGCACATGGTAGACACCAGAAAATGTAAAGCTTAAGAGCATGGGCTCTGGAGTTGCACTGTTGGAGGACAAATCTCTGCTTTGCCACTTACTTGCCTGAGGTCACACTCTGGTTACTTAATTTCAAGCCTTTATTTCTCTATCAAAAAAACTCAGTAGTTGTGATGATGAAATGTGATAATACATGCAGGGCACCTGGCTTGTAGCAAGTTTTTAGAATTCTAGCAATAATTATTACGATAATGGTGTGTGTCTGGAGCATAGGATATATTTGGGGAGGTATGGCAGAGATGACAAGAAAGTAGTTTAGGGCCAGGTTACTCTGTCAGTGACTTTGAAGTTAAAGTTAGAGGGACTGGGCAGCCTGTTTAAAGGAATCCTACTTAAAGGATTATAAGTGGATAACACCATGCAATTGTGTTATACAATAAAAATCCTAATGGAAATGTGAAGGGTACCGGACTGAGGGAATCCAACTGAAAAGCTACCAGAATAGTTTGCAGAGACATTAGGAGAGCTTCAGGTAGTTGTTGAAAGTGTAGAGGAAGGAATACTTTTGGATGATATTTTATAAGTAGAATCGACATGACATGGTAGGAGGAAGAATTAAAAAGGAATCCTATGGTTCTTGGATGATGGGGTAGATCTTGGAGTAATTAGGAGAGCTAAGAAGCAGGGGCACCTAGATGGCTCCGTTGATGAAGTGTCTGCCTTCAGCTCAGGTCGTGATCCTGGGGTCCTGGGATTGAGCCCTGCATTAGGCTCCTCACTCAGCGCGGAGTCTGCTTCTCTTTCTCCTTCCTTTGCCCCTCCCCACCGCTCGCTCTTATTCTCAAATAAATACAAATATCTTTAAAAATAATAAAAAGCTAATAAACAGAGGCTTTGAGGGGAAGATACTGTATTCAGTTTTGTACATGTCCAGCACATTTAAACACACATTTGTGCATGAGTGCACATACACACACACATAGAGAGAAACCCACCTGGAAATGTGCTTCCTCTGACACTTAGGAGAGTGAAGGGCAAGGGCTGTCTGGATGGCTCAGTCAGTTGGGCGTCTGCCTTCTGCTCAGGTCATGATCCCAGAATCCTGGTATCAAGACCTGCATCAGGCTCTCCACTCAGTGGGGAGTCTGCTTCTCCCTCTCCCTGCCCGTGCTTTCTCTCTCTCTCTCACATAAATAAATAAAATTACAAAAAAAGTGAAAGGTGAGAGTTAAAAATTTGGGAGTCATTGGTGTATTGGAATATTCTTAGTGCTGGATTTGGTATTCTAAAGAAAGCAAGAAGAGAGAAGAGCCTAATGCATATTATATAATAGGTGCTCAATAAATATTGTCTGAATATAAGAACTTAAAGGAGCACAAGTATTTTAAGTGTGGATGAAAGAAAACAAGTACAAGAGAGGAAGAACAGCAGGAGAGAACCAGAAGAGAAGTATGCTGTGAACTGACCAAGATCAAAAACTAATGACTAAAAAACAAACAAACGAACAAAAACCTAATGACAAAGCTAATACGTTTGGTATTACCCTATCTGCCTTTGATCTGTGTGGTAGACTCTGCCACACTTAGTTCAGTTATTGTATCATTCTTAGTTATGTGCAGAATTCTGCTTTAAATGTGCATTTTAAGATGAAGTGGTTGGTATTTTATAGGATTTCTACTATCTCAGTAAATAAAGATGCATAGTTGATATACATTTTTCCTTGGATGGGCTCTTCCCTACAGCCGCTACTAAAGATAATTAAAGATAATTACACAATTAAGGAAATAATAGTATTTTTAATGTTTTTACTCAAAGGTAAAGTATGAAGTAACAGAAGATGTGTACACTTCGAGAAAAAAACAACACCAGACCATGATGCATTATTTTTGTGCATTAAATACTCTTCAATACAAAAAGAAAATAGCACTGTTAGAACCTCTACTTGGGTACATGCAAGCTCAGGTAAATACTGACTGCACTGTGTTTTGGATCATAACTGTCCTAGAAACTATGTTAAGTTTGATATTTATGTGAAGTGTAAGCGTATTACAAACTAAGGTCAAAATATTCTATTTGGATCTCTGTTTTCAAAAGTAATTTAAAATGTCATCAGAATGCTATTTTGAGAAAGTTAGGATGGTTTTCCATGCAAATGAAGATTTCACATACTTTAGGGTAAATGAAAACACTTAGTATTTAGGTCTTGTCCATCACAGGTGGGGGACAGGGAACAGAAAGCTGAATGAATTCTGGAGTTACTCCTACTGATGGAATTTCCATTCACTCTGACTTTGGAATAGATTTGAAAGAGAATGGGCAAGTTTGAGTTTGTTTTCTGTTCCTTGGATACCTCCTGAGGTAAAAATAATAGAGGAGATCCAAAGTGTCCCAAGAGGTTTGCATCAGGAAGGAGGCTAGAAAAGTGAATTTGGGTAATATGTGATGGCACACCCCTAAAAATTAAGAGTTTAAAGAAATTCAAATATTCCTTCAAATATGAGTGCTTATTATTCCTCAATATAACATATATCTTTGTATAAATGTAAGAGTTTATATAACTTATTATATATATTTTAACATTTTCTAATTTTATAATTGCTTACAAAGATGTACACTGAAATTGAATTCTGGTTTCTTCAATGGTTCTAAGCCCAGTAGAAGTCATTGTTAACTAGTGCACAAATGGGAATACTCCTTTGTTCTTTACCTTACCATGTATCTTGGAGATTGTTTATATGATTCACTGTGTTTCTTGTATGTGTGTGTTTCTGTTGTTCATCCTCCCACTCACACACCTTCTTGCCCCAGATAAGTTTCTTTAAGATGGGTTCTGAAAATCTCAATGAACAGCTGGAAGAATTCTTGACTAATATTGGAACAAGTGTACAGAAGTAAGTACTTTCTTCCTTAAAATTGAAAATGAAGTTATGAGAATAAGTTAACAACTAAATGCCATAATCTAAAAATATTTAGCGTTGAATTTCCTGAGGGGCTGTTTTCCTTGCCATGAGACTGTGTCTCACATGGCTCATGGATAATTCTTGATTTTTCACCATCTTTTCCACAGAATCTGAGCTCTGAATTTCATAGCTCTGTCAAGTTTGATGATATTTTATTCTAACCTAGGTTTTATGTCTGTGTATAACAGACACATAATAGTAATTATCCGTAAGCTCATTATCTTCACAATTACCTGAACTGTGGGGGACAGATGGGAGTTACTAAATAAATCTTGCTTTCTAAGCCATGAAAACTTAAAAGAGGGCAAGCAGTTTTTTTTTTTTTTTTAATATTTTATTTATTTATTTGATAGAGTGAGAGAACACAAGCAGGGCGGACAGTGGGGAGAGAGAGGGAGAAGTGGATTCCCTGATGAGCAGGGAGCCCATGCCAGGCTCGATCGCAGGACCCTGGGATCATGACCTGAGCCGAAGGCAGAGGCTTAACCATCTGAGCCACCCAGGTGCCCCGAAAGCAAATAGTTCTAAGCAGGTTCTAAGCAAGCAGTTCTAAGCAGGTTCAAAATTCTGATCAGTGATGTGGTCAGTCTGGGATATGCAGGACACTTTGAAAATTATTCCAAAGTTCGGTATTCAGTGTGGCTTCATCCATTTTTTAACTTGGTATTATTTCCATAATACCTACTTCCAAATAAAATGTAAAGCTATTTCATCATGCGTTCATGTTATTTTAACCACCTGTGCCGTTGTTGCTGTCTTTAAGATATGCAAAGCAAATATATAGATAAACATGATTGGTAAGGAGTTCTTTGTTGTGGTTGGTAGTAAATAATATGTTTTCTGTGTTAGCGTTCGTAGGGAAATGGACAATGATGTCGAGACCATGCAGCAGACAATAGAAGATTTGGAAGTAGCCAGTGACCCCTTATATGTGCCTGACCCAGATCCCATGAAATTTCCTGTTAATCGAAACTTAACCCGGAAGGCTGGATACCTTAATGCTAGGAAGTAAGAAAACTATAGTTATTTTCGTATGTTGTATATCATATAAGGTAGTATCAAGTGAATATAATGTATGATTGATATTGTCTGCTAAATTATTTTGTTTTACTGAAGGTTGAATCTTTTTAGTTAGTATTCATGTTTTTTGTCAACTTTTTGAGAGGTGGAATACATGAATAATTTTCAGAAGTATTCTGTTTAGATATTTATTGAATAATTTAAATTATTTTTAAAGTAAGATGAATTTGAGTTTAAATAAATCTAGCATTTCATGAATGCTATTAAATACCATTTTTATGGGTTACCTGGGTGGCTCAGTCGTTAGGCATCTGCCATTTGCTTGGGTCATGATCCCAGGGTCCTGGGATCGAGCCCCACATTGGGCTCTGTGCTCAGTGGGAAGTCTGCTTCTCCCTCTCCCACTCCTATTCCCCCTGCTTGTGTTCCCTCTCGCTGTGTTTCTCTGTCAAATAAACAAAATCTTTTTTTTTTAATCATTTTTATTATACTTTAAAATGTAATTATACCATCAGGTCAACTTTTAAAAGTTTAAAAAAAATTTTTTTTTGAAGATTTTATTTATTTATTTGACAGAAAGGGAACACAAGCAGGGGGCATGGGAGAGGGAGAAGCAGACTCCCTGCTGAGCAGAGAGCCTGGCGTGGGGCTCGATCCCAGGACCCTGAGATCATGACCTGAACTGAAGGCAGAGCTCAAACGACTGAGCCATCCAGGTGCCCCAACTTCTAAAAGTTTTTATCTAAAGATAGGATAAAGCAAGTTCACCTTAGAAGTAAAATGAATTATTTTCGTTTGAATTTCTTCTCCTGAAACTTGAACTATAATTTATGGAGCATCATTGTAACAGTTGCAGTTTGATACCTTCCAGCTTTTTTTTTGGAAATACACAAACACAAAAGTGGCTCAGCGTACGTGAATTTATTTTAGAGATTGAAAAATATATATTTTCTAGGCACCTTTGTGCCTTTTTGCAAGCTGGTTCTTTGTGATGTGCTTTATTTATCTTGTGTCTGGCTTATGATGAGATTTCAGATGTGTTGTCATTAAAGAGTGAATGTACTTTCTTCATTTAGTAAAACAGGCTTGGTGTCATCTACCTGGGACAGACAGTTTTACTTCACGCAGGGTGGAAACTTAATGAGTCAGGCGCGTGGGGATGTGGCCGGTGGCCTGGCCATGGACATTGACAACTGCTCAGTAATGGCTGTGGACTGTGAAGACAGGCGGTACTGTTTTCAGATCACTTCCTTTGATGGAAAAAAGTTAGTATTTTTTCCTAGTGTTAATACAGTCTGTCGTATTTTAAATTACTGAAATGCATAATAATTCCTTCTCATTCAGATATTTTATAGCCACTTTAGGCTTATTATGTATTAAGATAATTTTCTTTTTTAATTATGTAGAAATGAGATGAATTTTCCTTTCTGACTTGGTTAAATGAAGTCTTAGTATTTTGAGGTTGTTAAAACAAGGGCAAATGGTAAAAACCTGTGATTTCATGTTAGGATACTGTTCACTGAAAATTTTGCTCCATGTGGGGGAAGGCAACAGAGTTAGAGGAAAGAGCCCTAACCCTGGGGTCAGAAAATTCAAATTCATGATCTTCCACTTACTGTGTGGTCTTAGATAAGTTACATAACCTCTGCTTTTTTACATGTGAAATGGGGGTGTGTGAGTCATAATCCCTACTTTGTAAATTATTATACAGAAGAGAAGTCTAACATATGTATTGTGCCTGACATGTAGTAAGTGCAAACACTCATTTTTAAATGTTAAATATTTCTGGTTAAATTAATGATTTAGTCCATTAATGTGTATATGCAATTTTTAGGACTTCTGTTACCTTTGTATTAATTGAGAATCCATAGAGTAGCCTTTACAACAAATTTTTGGAAAATACAGAAAAATATAAAAAAGGAGTATTGAATATTGAAAGAATAATCTCACTAACTAGAAGCAACAAGTAACTTTTTGGTCTGTTGCCTTATGGTTTTTATTTTAACTACATTTTAAAAAAATATTTGAGGAAATACTGTATATATACTTTGGATCTGTAGCTACTTATTAAAAACATTTCACAATGGCTTCGTTATAATCCATCTAAGGATATATACCATAATCTAAAATTTTTCTTAATGATAGATGTTGAAGTTATCTGCAGTTTTTTCCTGCTTAAAATACTGTTTTTGATCTTTCTTACTGTTCTGAAGCAGCATATTAAGATGTTATGGTTCACTGTCTTTTATCAGTTGTTTAATTTCATATTCCTTCTTTAAATATGTAATAAATGTCAGTGACTGTGTCATTTATCATGCTGGATGTTGGGAGTCCCTGTGTTTACCAAATTGTTAATATGTTAGTACAGGAATTTACATTTTTCTCAGTTTTATTGCTAATAATGCTTAATATGATTTCCCATTTCACATTCCTGGTGTGATTCAAAATTAGTAATTTTTCTCTTAACTCTTAAAATAACATCTATAGAAAAGCTAAGTATCCTGAAGTTAGTGATCGGTACATTAAAATTTTTTATTTGACTATAGTTTCAGAGAAATAATGAGTACAATTAGTGTTTTCTGTTAGGATCACTGATTTACATTTGAAATATTTATGATAAATATCAGAAAGTTGAAATGCTTTGTCTTATTTGCAGTGTACCTTTGTTATAGGCTGTCTTCTGAAAACCAGCACCTGTTTCTTTTTTGGTATATCTTGGCATGGATAGCCAAAGTCAAGAGTTGTTAAAATCTGAGTCCAGCCCCAGGTGGTCTCCTTTTCCTAACTAAGATATTGACTGGTTGTGTGTTTTGGGTTTTTTTAGTTTTGATACCAGTTGGTTTTATATGTACTTTTTTTTTTCTTTTAAAGATAAAAAATTTTCTCAGATCTTTTTTTAAATTGAGGGTCAAACTTCTTTCTTTTTTATTTTTCAGATCTTCAATTTTGCAAGCAGAAAGTAAAAAAGACCATGAGGAGGTAAAATTTTTTCTAAAGTTATTTTCTTCAGCAACATTTTAAGATATTTCAGTAACTAAATATTAAGATAAAAATGTAGAAAATCTTAGGGGCACCTGGGTAGCTCAGTGGGTTAAGCCTCTGTCTTTGGCTCAGGTCATGATCTCAGGGTCCTGGGATCGAGCCCCACATCGGGCTCTCTGCTCGGCGGGGAGCCTGCTTCCCCTTCTCTCTCTTCCTGCTGCTCTGTCTACTTCTGATCTCTCTCTGTCAAATAAATATGATCTTTCAAAACATTAAAAAAAAAGAAATGTAGAAAATCCTAATTAAAAATTTTTTTTTTTTTTTCATAAAAATCTGTTGTCGTCAAGAAACATCACGTTTCACAGAGACTTTTATAGGTAGACCTATTAAAGGAGACCTTAGAGATCATTGGTGTCTTGTCTTTTTAAAGGCTGAACTTCAGAAATGACCTTGTGACTGTTGCTATCTGGCAAGCTGTTAGTATCATGAGGTGACAGTTTAATTCCCTTCTCTCATCAACTTTCTGAGACCGTATTTGCTGCATTAAGAACATAGTGGCAGCTGATATAGCATGGCAGGAAGCAAGTAAAGCTTAAAACCTTGGAGAAATGAAAGACAGAAAAACAAAAATTTGGGAGTGTCTTTTCTTCCTCACGAGTCTTTTATTTTTGGCTCCATTTTTACTTCTAGTACACCAAATATGGAAGGTAAGTTACCACTAAGAACTGACGCTTCAGAACCTTTGTCCTGAGAAATATTCTTCAATGAAAATATACTGTAGTTGATTTTGAGCCACTTTATCTGGTATTGTAACTGTGTTGGTAAAAGACAAGGTTAGAAATTATATAGAGATCTATTTTTATTTGCCTCTTGTGCAAAGGAGTAGGTTTTAAAACTTGCTTTTGGTTTGTGAGGAACGTAGACAAATGTCTGCTTTCTGCCAGGTTTACCAGATTATTAGTTTAATGAAGCTCATTGTGGACTGGAGTCCTCGAGTGTGAAACAGAAAATGTGGAAGAGAGCATTTTCTATGTTAGTTATAAATCTGAAAGAAGAGAAGTACGTAAAATGCATTCACTAGGAATATATTTAGCTCTTAACTTTTTTTATTGGTGTTAATCACGATATCTGAGTTCAGACTATCTTATTTGGTAGGGAGTAAGAGGGGAGTGATATAAAAGACAAATATAGACTATTAAATTGTAACTTAACATTATTGGTTTATTTTTATTTGCTTGTATAAAGTTAATTTGGACCTTTTTTTTTTTTTTTCCCCAAAGATTTTATTTATTGGGGGCCTAGGTGGCTCAGTTGGTTAAGCGACTGCCTCGACTGCCTTTGGCTCGGGTCATGATCCTGGAGTCCCGGGATCGAATCCCACATTGGGCTCCCTGCTCAGCAGGGAGTCTTGCTTTTTTTTTCTTCTTTTTTTTTTTTTAAAGGTTTTATTTATTTATTTGACAGACAAAGATCACAAGTAGGCAGAGAGAGAGGGAGAAGCAGGCTCCCTACTGAGCAGAGAGCCCGATGCGGGGTTTGATCCCAGGACCCTGGGATCATGACCTGAGCCGAAGGCAGAGGCTTTAACCCACTGAGCCACCCAGGCGCCCCAGGGAGTCTGCTTCTGCCACTGACCTCTCCCCTCTCATTCTCTCTTCCTCTCCCTCTCAAATAAATAAAATCTTTAAAAAAAAAAAAAAGGATTTTGTTTATTAGATAGCACTAGTGGAGGGGAGGGGCAGAGGGAGAAGAAGATGTGGACTCCCCACTGAGCAGGGAGCCTGACTTGTGACTTGATCCCAGGACCCTGAGATCATGGCCTGAGCTGAAGGCAGATGCCTAACTGAATGAGCCACCCGTGTGCCCCAATTATATGCTACTTCTAATGGAACTTTTATTCAGTGAAATATTGAAGATTCTTTTAGAAGAGAACTATAGAAAAAAATATTAATCATATTTTTCTCTTTTTTTCTCTTGCAGTGGATCTGTACTATAAATAACATATCCAAGCAAATATATTTAAGTGAAAACCCAGAGGTAATATTTTTATTTTATGGTATCCAGACCTGGCAAAAATGAATGATTATTATTTCATAATTCCTCAAGTTCTGAAGTCTTTTAATTTGCCCTTGAATGAGTAGCTTTAATGCATCCCTGTAAGAGCATTTGGTCTTCCTAGAAAGATAAAGTATTTCAGAAGTAACTGAAATTGGTCAGCTAACAAATTTTTACTGGGCATCAGTCCTGTATTTGGCTTTGGGTTGAGCACCATGGAGAAGCATACAAAAGAAAAGGAAGCCATGGCTTTGCCATGCAGGAGCCTGTGTGTGTGGAAATACAAAACTAAAACTTTAAGTAACACTGTGTATGAAACTATGTGGTTGAAAGTGTATGGTAATGACTAAAAGCTTAAGATTTGAGAATGCTAAGATCAGTGTGGACTTTAGTTTTAGAGACAATTGTGGAGAAGGTAGGATCCCAAGCTGGCTAAGATTTGTCCATGTTTTGAGAATAAAACATGAGTAAAATATATTCTCCTATGAGAATAAAACACATTCTCCTATGAGAATAAAAACAAAAGCATAAAGGTAGAAATGATGTGTTTATGAAACCTGTAGTATAATTGGAGTTGAAGGTTCTTACTAGAGAAAAATAGCTGAAATGTACATACAAATCACATGGGGATCTTGTTAAAATGCAGAGTATGTCTAAGATGAGGTGGCCTGAACTCCAGGTTTTTGCCAGTTACACTTTGAGCGGCCAGCCTATCCAACCAGATGAACTTAGCTGCTTAGGTGAATCCAAACACATAGAAGAACCCAGGGGTGCGGAGAACTCTGGAAGGAATCAAGTGCATCCATGCTGCAGCATAGTTGGGAAAAGACTTGGTTTGGGTCAGGAGCTAGGTAACCTCTGCCAGTCTCAGTGGGCCCATCTGTGCAATAAACCTGGCTGCCTGCCAGGGCTGTGCAAGGCTGTGCAGGGCTGATGATTTCAGTTGAGGTAGAGCAGGACTGATTTCTGTAGGAAGCCGCCATCCTTCTAAGTCTTAAAACTGTTGTTGGTATAATTGGTTGATTAGACAGGAGCATCTGGAAACATCTAGGAGACCATTATCCTAGTTCAGGTACGAACTGAGGGTCTGAACAGGTGTGGTAATCAAAAGAGAGAAATAATGCATTGTAGAAAGAGGTAAAAAGAAATCAGCTGGACAGTTAGTAACTGACCAATGTAAAGGATGAAAGAGATGAATTAAAGATGATTTTCAGGTTTTAAGCTCAAGTGAACAGAAGAGCAATTTAAAAGAGTTCTGTTATTTATCATTAATGGCTTTGAGGTACCAGCCAAGACACCTAGAATTTAGATGCCTAGGAAAAGTTTTGAACCAAAGAAACAATATTTCATGACCTCCAAAATATTAGTAACTTCTATTAGTTTTATAATCTTATGAGTGTAATCTAAGAAAATCAGTGCCAGTTGCTAATTGTAAAGAAGCCTTTTGCTTGCACTAATTTGATCTCTTGCCAGGTTAGCTTTTCCTTTCTGTTAGGTTACTTGGGAGCATCAAAAAATTAAAACGGAAGTTGGATGACCTGTTAATATCTAGGGAATACATGGTGAATACAGTGTTTGGGTCTGAATAATTCAGGGTTATCTTACTTTTCCCACAGACTATCAGAACTCTAAATTTTAAGTAGTATTTTCCATATGATTCAGAATTACTTAATCTGTACTTAATGAGAGAAGAAATTCTGATCAATTTGTGGCATTGTTTTGATATTTTTGCTACTAACACATGCAAAAGTATTAGGATTTTTTTTTCTAACGTAAATATTATTTTACAAAGTAGCCAGTGTTTGAATTTAAACAGTAAGTTTAAAAATATCTCTTATAGGAAGTTTTCTTTCAGATTTTGGCCTGAAAATATCCATGATAACTTCATCAATAAATACATAGATTTCTCTGGGCATAAATATATTCTGGAAGATCATGAAAACGTCAGCAGTATAGTCATAAAATATTTAAATATTTTAATATTTTGTGGCTATTCCTACTTCTGAATTTCATTATTTAACAGATGTATTGAGTACCCATATAGTAGGTGCTGTATTAGGTGCTAACAATACAAACCTAATCCAAAAAATTTGGTAGTTAAATATTTAAAGATCTGTGTCTGTAAGAAGTAAGAGGAAGCTTAAGTTATAATGTTACGAAGTTAATTATGTATCTTAAGACAATGTTGGAACTACTTTAGTAACTCCAATTTGCATTTTAAATGTAACTCAAGAACGTTCTGACAACTGTTTTCAAACTTTTGGTTTCCTTGCTTTACCAATTCTAGTCCTTTTTAAAACAAAATAGGAAATTGCAGCACGAGTAAATCAGTCAGCTTTGGAAGCTGTCACTCCTTCCCCATCTTTCCAGCAGAGGCACGAGAGTCTGCGGCCGTCAGCGTGAGTTACCAGACTTTGGGTTATTTGAAACCATATGGGCTTTCGAAAGTGTTAGCAAACACTTTGATTTTTAGCAGTTCTACTTACATTAGTATGAAATAGTTTCCCCAAAATATAGAAAGTGTATATTTTCAGGTTGGTAAATTTACCAGCTAGAGTGCTAAATAAATAATTCCAGATGGCCCTAGTGCTTTATCTATAGACTGAGATCATTTATGTTTTTGAATTTAGTCATTGGAAAGAAAAGTCTGTTATTGAAATTTCTTCTCCTCTCTTTAACTTATAAAATATTTTCTTTTCTGATAGTTCGTATTCAGTTTCAAAAAGAGAAAACTTAATGCAATGTCTTCTGGTTTTCTTCTGTGTTTAGACAATCTCGGCCACTGACAGCTCGAACGAGCAGCTTGGGATCCTTAGGATCTGAGTCCACAAATCTGGCTGCCCTTTCTCTAGATTCTCTCGTTGCTCCAGATACTCCAATACAGTTTGACATCATTTCTCCCGTGTGTGAAGATCAGCCTGGCCAAGCAAAAGCCTTTGGCCAAGGAGGCAGGTGGGCGATGACGTCAGAGGGATATTGTTCTTTGGTCTGTTAGGTTTGTGATTCCATTTTTGCAGTTGAGAGCCCTCTCTCACAAATACGTACCAATTATGTTGTACTTCCTATACCTAATTTTGGTAGTCGGGAAAGAATCATCCAGGTTTTTGTTTTCTGCCTCAGCTAAATAAGTGGAGATAATTTAGTTCTAAAAATATTTAATTTTGAATTCTGGTATTTGCTCTTAAAATTACAGAAGAAAGTTGACATTTTAGAAATTCAGAGTAGTACATGTGCTCTAGGTTTGTAAGAAGAATATCATCTTGGGTCAGAATAAGAAATCTCCAGGAAGACTAAAACATTATCATGCTGCGAATTATTAATAAAACATCTTCTGGTTGTATAATGAGAAATGTGAAAGCTGTTAGAATTTTTCTTTGGCTCTGGGATGAAGGAAATATCACAGCAAATCATTTATTTAAGTAGGTTGGACGCCTAAAAATTGATACTAATTTGGATCTAAGTGGTGACCAATAAAAAAATAATTTGTATTTGAACACAGAAATATATTTAGCATTTTATATAAAAGTTCAGACATAATTATAGAGATCAATTTCATGTTGTCTTTTTTTTTTAAGATTTTATTTATTTATTTGACAGATCACAAGTGGGTAGAGAGGCAGGCAGAGACAGAGAGAGGGGGAAGCAGGCTCCCCGCTGAGCAGAGAGCCCAGTGCAGGGCTTGATCCCAGGACCCTGGGATCATGACCTGAGCTGAAGGCAGAGGCTTTAACCCACTGAGCCACCCAGGCGCCCCAATTTCATGTTGTCTTAAGGCCAACATTATTTTAAAACCACTTAGCTCTCTGTTTGCTTACAAAACCTATTTTTTTTTTAAGATTTTTTATTTATTTATTTGACAGAGATCACAAGTAGGCAGAGAGGCAGGCAGAGAGAGGGGGAAGCAGGCTCCCTGCTGAGCAGAGAGCCTGATGTGGGGCTCGATCCCAGGACCCTGAAATCATGACCCGAGCCGAAGGCAGAGGCTTAACCCACTGAGCCATCCAGGCGCCCCTACAAAACCTATTTTGAATTGTATTTTTTTCCTTCATTGTGTGTGTGCCAAGAGCCACTCACACCGAGGAGGGAGGTAGCTCTCATCACTAATTAGCTTTTCTTCCTGCATTGTTATGTATGTCTTGAGAAATACAGGTTTAAAACTAGACAGTGTTCAAATTAGCATAATTAACTTACAGTATGTACTTTGAGGACCTAAAAAGAGGTTTTTGCAATCCTAGGAAATCCCTGGCATTTTTCTCAAGTAGCTAAAATTGAAGCTAAATCCGCTGTTCTGTCCCTCTTTATTTAAATTCAAGGACTTTCACAACATGGTTTATAGGATATTGGGGTGTATGTGGGTGTATATGTATGTATGTCTACATGTCAGCTCACCTACCTCTTCTAGAATGCAGCAGCATTGAGTTCAGCCTACTGAGTGTGAAGGCAGGGACCTTTGTCGAAGTAAAGTGGTCATTGATAGTAGTTCCTTAACAGGATGGGGCATTTTAGAGCTTTTTTAAAAAATGTATGTACAAGTTTTTGTGACTCTTAGTTTATAACCCAGTTTCAATGATTGAGATTTCTTCCGTATGGCTCATGGTAACTGACCATTGGTTCATAATTTTTGAAAAACTTTTCAGGCGCACAAATCCATTTGGAGAATCTGGAGGAGGTACAAAATCTGAAACTGAAGGTAAAACAGTTGTGCAGTATTCTTATATTTTAAAAATTCTCAGCAGAAAACTGTGTGAAGAATTTGTTGTATATGTTTTTTCTGATGTATGCTATTTTAATGGTAGCTTTACTTCACAGTTTTCTTTTTGCTCATAGTACTCAAAGCAGCAGAACTTAATCAGGCTTAAAGATTTCATTAAAATTATAAAATATCATACTTGGCACTTCAGAGTCAAATTCTCAATGCAGAAGATATCCTTTAAGCTTTTCCTAGCAGCTGGTGTTTTCTTCTGGTACTGGACCATAACTTTTTTTTTCTTTTCTCAGTAACTATTTTTGATAAATTTCAGATTTAAAAGCTTTAAGAATAGTACGAGGAATTTTTATTTTACTCAGAACCATCAATTGTTGAAACCTGACCTTTTGCTATTTGAATTAGAGACCTTAATTTTCCTATAACTTAAACACTGTTGTTAGGAGTAATTTTTAAATACTTCTACAAGGTTGAATTTTTCACTAGAAAATTTAAAAAGTGACAATGTATTTTATTCTTAAGGAAAGGAAATGTGGGATTTAAAGATATGTAATGTACCTTGTTCTTTTGTAGATTCTATTCTTCATCAGTTATTTATTGTCCGATTCCTTGGTTCTATGGAGGTGAAATCAGATGACAATCCAGATGTTGTTTATGAAACAATGCGGCAAATCTTAGCTGCCCGGGCCATCCATAACATCTTTCGTATGACAGAATCACATTTATTGGTCACTTGTGATTGTTTAAAGTAAGTAATGACCTCCCCCTCAAAAAACTGTCGGAAAAAATGTTTAATTTCAGCCTAATTAAAATTTGTTTTCCAAATTTTTAATTATAGGTTAATTGATCCACAGACACAAGTTACAAGGCTCACAGTGAGTTCTACAGGTTTAAAGCTTTATTGGAAGTCTCTTTGTGCATATACACATCTGTATCATTATAGTAATTCTGACTGTATGTATTAAATAGTGGTATTAATTATGATTGATTGGCCAAGTTAAAATTAAGCCAATGGCCATCTCCCGCCACCCCAAATTTATAATTAAACATTCCATATACTTAAACGATCAGTGCAGTCTGGTATGATATGTAGTTTTTTAGTGTAGGATATGTGCTGCCTAGTTAAGGGATAAACACTAACAGGAATTAAAAGGTGGACATGATTGAGTTTATAATTACCTGTGTTGAAATAGCTGGAAGTACATGCTCTTAATCATTTAATAATATGGACCATTTTTGTTATTGAATATGATTTTGTAATATGTGTAAATGACTAATAAATTTGATATTCAACAAGGTCTTGTTCTACCTGGTAATCCAAACCAAATAGGACATTTTTGTTCTTGGATTGCCATTCTGTTAAGAAGAAAATTGGCTTTAATGATCTGTTTATTTTTTTTTTTAAAGATTTTATTTATTTATTTGACAGAGATTACAAGTAGACAGGCAGGCAGAGAGAGAGAGGGAAGCAGGCTCCCTGCTGAGCAGAGAGCCCTATGCAGGACTCGATCCCAGGACCTTGAGATCATGACCTGAGCCGAAGGCAGCGGCTTAACCCACTGAGCCACCCAGGCGCCCTGTTTATAATATTTTTATAACTTAATACTTGAATTTGTCATACAGAAGAGTGCTTGTGTTTGAAAAATCTCATGTTTGCTTCTGATATTTTCTGTGGCAGTTTCCATTACCCAGTGTAGTTTTGTACGCTACACACCAGGAAAATAAGAGGCTTTTTGGATTTGTTCTTCGGACATCTGGAGGGAGAAGTGAAAGTAATCTGTCATCAGTCTGCTATATATTTGAATCAAACAACGAGGGGGAAAAGGTACCTGATTTTTCAAATTGTGTTTCTATTATGAAATATATATCATAGTCGAAGTTCTTAGTAAGATTTGTGGAAGAAAACAAATTGGGCTTAATCCAACAAAGTTGTTTGATCAAAGCCCATTGGCTCTAAAGATAGCTGGTAGGTAGCTTGGGCCTTCTGACTATAGACAGTGTCTTCCCTGGGCATTGGCAGCTGATGCTCTGGGAATGCAGTATATTAACTTACTCTGGGAATGTATTATATTTCCATAATCAGCCTTTTTTAGCTGTTCAGCTTAGAGCAGTATCAGCATCTCCTTGCTTCATTCTTTGCAGACCTTACCATTTCAGTAAGGAATTTGAGATAACAGGAAGGTGAGGTGTGTGACAGAGGAGAGACCCAGCAGCAGCAACTCAGAGACTCTGAAGAAAACTCACAGATGCTTCATGTGGGGATTGGAACTTTTTTTTTTTTTAATTTAGAGAGAGCAGGAGTGCAGGGGAGAGACAAAGGGAGAGGGTGAGAATCTCAAGCATACTCTGCGCTGACCGAAGAGTCCAGCATGGTCTCAAAACCTGAGATCATGACCTGAGCTGAAATCAAGAGTCGGACACTTAACCAAATGAGCCAGATGTCCTGGGACTAGAACATTCTTAAATCAGCTTTTGTTTGAAGCAGTATATTATAATGAGTTATAAATCTAGTTGCCTCAGGTATTTGGATACTTGAAATTATTACTTCAATGTGAGAACTGCCTGAGCTTTTCCTACTTTTTTCCCCTTTCAGATTTGTGATTCTGTTGGTCTGGCAAAACAGATAGCTTTGCATGCAGAACTGGTAAGAATCCAAAATTATCCAAGAATGTTCTTTTTTCTAAGATTTATTTATGTAGAGTTGCAGAGGCAGGGAGAGGGTCAGAGGGACAGGCAGAGAGAGAATCTCATGCAGAGTCCTATGCATGGCTCGATCTTACCTCCCTAAGATCATGACCAGAACTTAAAATCAGCAGTTGGATGCTTAACCGACTGAGCCACCCAAGTGCCCCTCTAAGGTCTTTCGTATTAGCAAAGAAATAAAAAATGAATTTGCTGTGCAAGGTAATCAGTAGATACTATTGCTGACACAGCATTTGGAATTTGGACAAGTGACTAAGATAGAATATAAATTTTTAGTGTGCTTCCATATAAGTATAAAAATTATGAAAAGGTTACAAAGGCAATATTGAAAAGTCTAAAATATAAAATTAATTCATTAGTTGTATTCATCTATTTTTCAGGATCGTCGGGCATCAGAAAAACAAAAAGAAATAGAGAGGGTAAAAGAGAAACAACAGAAAGAACTCAGTAAACAAAAACAAATTGAAAAGGTATGTAGTCATAGTATCTAGATCTTCTCTGATGTAATGTTTATGAAATTTCCTTAATTCAGAACTGTGATTTTCAGATTTGAAATTCCAAGGGAAAGTCTGTTTCTGCTTCCTCAGCCACTTTATAACCAGATGGTTCATAGCACAGCAGAAAAGGAAGACATCTGTCTTCTGAGAGGATGTTTATAGTTCCTGACATGTAGTTGACTTGCCGTTTAGCAAACATACCAGAGCTTTTATATTTCCATATTCCAGTGAAGGTTGTTTCTAAAAAGCGGGTCTTTTGAGAGGCTGTGTGTGTGTGTGTGTGTGTGTGTGTGTAGACTTAACTGCCATTGCTGACATCTTTATTGGTCTCCAGGAATTTATATAAATACTTAATGCTACCAGGAGTGTCGAATCATTGTCCATCCAACAGGATAATTTTAAGTTAGGCAAGTTTCAGAGTAAAATCTGGAGAATGCATTAGATGGTGATGCATGAGATGGTAAGACCCAGTTATGGGCTGTGGCATTGGCAGTAGCCCTGGAAAAGAGGAGACATTCGTGGGATACTTAATGAGTACAGATCAGCAGGAATTGGGAATGAATTGGACTTACGGACAAAGGAGAAGGATGTGATGAAGAGGACACTGAAGTTGAAGCTTCCTTGCTAGGTTAGGCTGAGGGAGGGCGAAAACTGATTTAGCAAAGTAAGTAGGACAGGGGGAGGGTGGAGATGTGGAGTCATCCATTATGGGCCTTTTATGTGGTAGATTGTGAGAGAGAACAATGGTCTGAATACTGGTTTTGGCCATAAAAACGGAGAAGAGGGCAGTGTTGGTTTTTATAGGATTTCTAAAATGGTGCCAAAACCCACTTTGGTGTCATACTGGTTGCGTATAGTCTGTTTTCAGTGAGTTGCCAGAATTGTGCGTGTTTATGACAGAAGGATCGGAGTGGCTCTCAAGTATGTATTTTAAATGCACAGTTTTGCATTTGATTGCAAACAATAAACTTAGTTTCTTTTCTGTCTTTTCTACTAGGACTTAGAAGAACAAAGTCGGTTGATAGCTGCTTCCAGTAGACCAAACCAAGCCAGTAGTGAGGGGCAGTTTGTTGTCCTTAGCAGTAGCCAGTCAGAAGAGAGTGATTTGGGAGAAGAAGGAAAGAAAAGAGAGTCAGAAGCATGAACTTATCCTTGGTTTTTGGTTGGTATTTCCCCCCTTGGAATTTATTGAGTTTCTGTGGTGAAATGGCACAAGGTAACAACTATGTTGAAATATCAAGGAGACTATATTGTTTTAACTTCATTTTTTAAAATAAGATTGACCTTGGTCACTTAGGTTTGCATTGATTTTTCTTTTCCTTAAAAATATACTATGCAGTAACATCAAATTCCATGCGTCAAAGAGAAACCTATTCATCTCCTTGAAGTAGATTGCTGAGGAATTACACTTGCTCAGGCCTTTTTTCCTTCAAATTGTGAACTTCTTGTCTTGCATTGTAATTGGCTCTGACCATAAGAAACCTTTTATTCTTCAGCTTCAGGTATTCATGGATATGCTCCCTCTTCTCATTAGGAACATTTTTGCTGGCAGTGAGGAAGCTTTTGACTGAATCAGTTCAAAACCCTTTATACAGAGCATTCTACAAGTTTGCAGATATTTTAATTATTAAATGTGCAATAGAACTTTTATATAAAATAATTAGAAAAAAGATTTTAGACTTAAGGTTTCAAATTGGGGCAGGTGGTACTGTGATTTCAGGGCACTTTCTTGGATTGCTCACATTTCTGATGTATTACAGCTGATGCCAGTGGGAAAGAAGCTTAAGTGTCTTCAGTTCAAGGTTGATACAGCCCGTGGCATTTAATCGTCACCTTCTTAGTTCTCAGGTTGGGACTTGAATTATTGCTGCAGAGCAGTAATGGTTAAAATAAGATTTTGGAATTTATTAAAAGGGATTTTTTTTGTTCAAGTACATTTTAGATTAGGACTTAACATGTAAAGATACTGTTACAGGATAACACATCGTATTTTCTGCATTGTGTGAAATAATTTTTATTGAAAATCAAGTGACATTTCAAAAGAAATTCTATAACAGTTGTTTCCTGCTTAAAGTAAAAATGCCCAGAGTTTAGTTTAGAAAATGTAATCTTTTAAATTTCAGACTGATATGCACAGTATTTTCATAATTCCATGTTTTGATAAAATACTGATCACCACTTTATATCCACAAAGGCAAATAACTAATATATGAGAATAGAATAATTTGCACTAATTATTGTAAATACTTGTACTCTCAAATGAGTAAAAGGTCTAATTCCATGAAAGATTGAAAGGAAATTGAATGTTTGGTTTAAGAGTGACCAAGGAAGGATCATTTCCCTACTGCCATGACAAAGCTTGATTTTTTTTAACATTGCTGATAGAATTATGTTTGTTTCACATATAAAACTATGTAGAAGCAAATACACTGAATAAAATACATAGTCCTACATCTAAAATTTTCAGAGATTATCCATTTCAAGACTAATTATACAAGGGAAAAGCCCTTTGTTCTTTGATACAGTCTTTTCTTAGGTCTGAATTAGAGACAGCGTCTGTTTTAGCTCTCACAATACTGTGTGGCTCTTTGACACTGTACATACAGTTTTCTGTGGAAGGGGAAAATTAGGATAATGATATTCTTTGTATCCATGTGCCAAACAGGAATAATGATTACTTGATAATTGTTATTTTGAAGCCTTATGTTACCAAAACATACAGTAACAAAGTAGAAATTTATGGAATACTTTTTAAAGAAAGTTGATTTTGTGCTTTCTAGAGGGAATGCTTTCACAAGAGTTGGTGTGTCGTTCCTTTGGTAGAAGTTGAAATTTCTGTGGTCGCTTGATAGTCATGGTATATCCTGCTTTTAAGACCTTTTTGAGAATTAATAAGCTCTCTGTTTCATAAAGTCTCTTGTTTATGCTATGAAGTTGTCACCTCACTTAGTTCAGATGAAACTTGTCACCCTTCAATGAAGGGTGGACAGCTTTAGGTGGCAGTTTTTCTAGGCTGGTGCTGTGCCTGGGAGCCAGGTGCTGCCCTTTGTTAGTACTAGGGGTCAGAATGAAGGCTGGAGTTAAAGACAGCAGCAGACTTAGGGATGCTGGACAGACAGACCTGTAGTTCCTTTTAAGTCATGTTTTGATAGGAATTTCTACAATAACACACCCATTTCCACAGATCAGACCAAAGAACATTCCAACACCAAATAGAAGTTGTGTGTGGAATTAACAATTTTAGATATTTCAATTTTTGGTCCATTGCTATAGAACTATACAAACTATTCCATACTGCAGATATTTAAGCATCAACTTAAAAAAACTCACCTTTTTGTTTGAAGAAGGCTGCCCATGGGTTTCTGCATGTTAAAGCTGATCTTGGTTTGTTACCCTTTGATATCCCTTCTGGCTCTTGGATGCTTTGGTGGTAATGGAATTAGAATTTGGGATTGCCTTCTCAGATTCAAACTTACACTTGATGGTTTTAGAAGTTAACAAAATTGATTCTTTAAAAGAAAGTCTACCTAATTCAACTATGCACTCTGCTACTTATAGGAAAACTACTTTTGTAACAATGGTAATGAATAGATAGGAAATAAATTACTGCTACTCCCTTTAAAATTTTTAAAACTTGCCAACAAGGGACTGAACAGAGTCCCCAAAACCAGTCTAGTTTTTGTCATTTCTACAATGATTAGTTTAATTTCCAAAGAATTCTCAGGCTCTAGGCATGGTAAAACTGTTACTGTTATGCATACCCTACTACCCTTTACCCAAGCATAACATTCTACGTAGCATACGATCTTGTGTGGTAAAGGCATCTGAGTTAATATTGAGTTATGTGTAGTAACTACAAAGACTTGAATCTTATAAATGCTGACAGACCCCAAGATCCCGTGTATTGCAAAACCTTCTGCTACCTGAATTAATAAAATGAAAATATTAACATTGGTTTTGGCAACATCCTCCTAGCATTCAAATTGTACTTTAAATATTCATACACACTGATTGTCTTTCATTTTATTTTAAGCAACTTTGGTTACTCTTCTTCCATGAATTTTGTTCTTCTGCATTAATAACACAAAGATTTGAAACTGGAACTATACTACACTTTTTAACTAGTCTCTTGTGGCTATACTCATGTGATTTACTTCAGCTAATATGAGAACTGGGATTAAGTTATAACTAATGTGCAAAACTGCTTTGTATATTTGGTGATTTTGTAATGTTAAGTGAATTGGTTCTTATCTCACTGATACTATTAATCATGCATATATACAATTAAAAATCATGCTACATTTCCCTTTAGAATCGAAGATCTCAACTTTATGTAATGGTGGTATACATGTGGGGTGGAGAGCTTATTTTTTTCATTTTGTCAAAGTAGGTATTCTCTGACAAGGCTTGAGGATATATGCTTTTAGGAGATTTTTATGTATAATAAAGTCCATGATTTTTGTATAGTCTTTTTTGTATGAAGTATTTGATATATACTTTTATTTCTCCAAGTAATTCCAAATGCTTGTGAAACAAATGGACTTTTTCTTGATATGTTATGACACTTACAATTACACATCTAGCCCCACTACAATTCCATAACAGCTAAAAACTGGGAAATAATACAAATTTATCACTAGTGACTTTTTTTTTCTTTTAGAAAAATCGACTTCTTGATAATTACCCTAGACATGTTACAGACAATATATACTTGCTATGGTTGGCCCTATTTAAAGAAATACATATAATTTAAAGGGGCAGGTTATTGTGTACACCAGCTTAAGTGGGCTTGGCCTGTAATTTTAATACTAATACATATTTGTCCCATGTGCTCTTTATATTTTCCTATAACACCAAGTTCTTTTCATCTACTGGGAGTTTCTGTTCTAATTTGTTTTTATAAAATATATACACTTTTTAGAAGGTCCAGGGAGTGAATGAAACTATAGAATTATGTAATTTATCTAAGTGCATGTATATCCTAAATATTTTGTATATTGACATATCTATAATCCACTACTCACTTATAAACGGACACCACAATTTGGTTAGAAAAATAAAAATTATTCATGCCAGCAAATTTTGCAAGTTTTTAATGTGAAAATTGTATTAAAAGTAATTTTAAGTCTGTGCAGAATCCCCACATCAGAAAGAAATCCTATAACTTCAGTTTCCTTAAGATGTACTGTATTATGCTAAAAAAGTATACTAACACTAAACATATAAACAACAAGGCTGTGGTGACTGGGGCTGTGGTGAAAATGGAGCTACATCATCCTATCTACCACTCTGTTCTTAGTGATGTGCCATCTAATCATTACACTGGGGTGGCTGAACAGAGGTCTCCTCGGTTTCTTTCCATGTATAGAAACCTGTACTTACCTGTGGCATAGAACATACAGAAATAAAAATTTAACCAACATTCTGCAACTGGAATCACGGTTCTAAGAGGAAAGTTTATAACAACACAGGCCTGCATCAAGCAGCAAGAAAAATCTCAGAAAAACCACCTTACATCTAAAAAACTAGGTAAAGAACAAATAAAACCCCAAACCAGCAGAAGGAAGGAAATAATCAAGATTAGAGCAGAAATAAGTGATTTAGAAACCAAAAAATAGAACAGATCAGTGAAACCAGGAGCTGGTTCATTGAAAAGATCAATAAAATTGATAAACCTCAAGTCAGACTCATTAAAAAAGATCCCAAATAAAGAGACTAACACCACAGAAATATAATTGTAAGAGAATATTGTGAAAAATTAGACGCTGACAAATTGGATAACCTAGAAGAGAGAAATTCTTAGAAGCATAATCTACCAAAACAAACAGGAAGAAATAGAAAATTTGAACAGACCAATTACAAGTAAAGAAAATAAATCAGCAATAAACTCCCAATAAACAAAAGTGCAGGACCAGATGACTTCAGAGGTAATTCTACCAAACCTTTACAGAATTGATACCTACTCTTTTCAACAAAGTCCAAAAAACAGAAGAGATGGTAAAAACTTCCAAATTCATTCTATGAGGCCAGTACCCACCCTGATACCAAGATCAGATAAAGACACTACTAAAAAAGTGAACTACAGGCCAATATCGCTGATGAACATAGATGCAGAAATCAATAAAATACTAGCAAACAGAGTCCAACAATACATTAAAAAAAATCATTCACCACAGTCTGGGATTTATTCCTGGGATGCAGGGATGGTTTGATATTCACAAATCTATCAAGATGATACATCACATTAATAACAGGATAAAAACCATTTGATCTTAATAGATGGCGATGTTGACAAAGTACAACTATTCATGATAAAAACCCTCAACAAAGTAGGTCTAGAGGGAACACAGCTCAACATAACAAAGGCCATATATACAAAAATGCCATAATGAACATCATGCTCAATGGGGAAGAACCAAAAGCTGTCCCCCTATGGTCAGGAACAAGACAAAGATGTCCTCTCTCCCCACTTTTATTCGACACAGTACTGGAAGTCCTAGCCACAGTGGTTAGACAACAAAAAGAAAAGGCATCCAAATTGGTAAAGAAGTAGCAGAACTTTTCACTGCATTGCAGATGACATGATACTATATATAGAAATCTCTAAAGACTCCACCAAAAAAGCTGCTAGAACTGATAAATGAGCCAGTAAAGTTGCAGGATATAAAATCAATGTACAAAACTCTGTTGCAGTCCTATACACTAATAACGAAGCAAGAGAAAGTGACATTAAAACAGAAGCAAAGCAAGAAACAGACTCTTAACTATAGAGACTAAACTGGTGGATACCAGAGGGGAGGTCGCTGGGGAGATGGGTTAAATGGGTGATGGGGTGAAAGAGGGTCACTTGTGATGAGTACCAGGTGATGTATGGAAGGGCTGAATCACTATTTTGTATAGCTGGAACTGATATTACACTGTGTTAACCCCTGGAATTTAAATAAAAACTTTTTAAAAACACTTCCACTTACAATTGCACCAAAAATAACAAAATATCTAGGAATGAACTTAACCAAAGAGGTGAAAGACCTGTACTCTGAAAACTATAAAACATTGATGAAAGAAATTGAAGATGAAACAAACAAATGGAAAGATATCCATGCTCATGGACTGGAAAAACAAATATTGTTAAAATGTCTATATTCCCCAAAGCAGTCTACAGATTTAATGCAATCCCTATCAAAATAGAGCATTTTTCATGGAATTAGAACAATCAATCCTAAAATTTGTATGGAACCACAAAAGACGCTAAATAGCCAAAGCAATCTTGAAAAAGAAAAAAACGGGAGGTATCACAATTTCAGGCTTCAAGTTACATTACAAAGCTGTAGTAATCAAAATGGTATAGTACTGGCATAAAAAAAGACACTTAGCTCAAGGCAACAGAATAGAAAACCCAGAAATAAACCCACAATGAAATGGTCAATTAATCTTTGACAAAAGGGGCAAGAATATACAATGGGGAAGAGATAGTCTTTCTGCAAGTGGTGCTGAGAAAACTGGACCACTTTGTTACACCATACACAAAAATAAAATGGATTAAGAACCTCAATGTGAGATCTGAAATGATACAAATCCTAAAAGAGAGCACACGTAGTAGTCTCTGACATCAACTATAGCAACATTTTTCTAAGTAAGTCTCCTGAGGCAAGGGAAACAAAAGCAAAAAAATAAACTATTGGGACGACATCAAAATAAAAAGAGGCTATGCCTCTTTTTATTTTGTTCCCTAAAAAGGGAACAATTATCAAAACTAAAAGGCAGCCTACTGAATGGGAGAAGATATTTGAGAATGACACATCTAATAAAGGGTTAGTATCAAAATGGATAACTGATACAACTCAACACCGAGGAAACAAATAATCCAATTAAACAATGGGCAGAAGACACGAACAGACATTTCTCAAAAGAAGACATACAGATGGCCGACAGACACATGAAAAGATGCTCAACATCATTTGTCAGGGAAATGCAAATCAAAACTATATTGCTATTCCTCTCAGCTGTCACAATGGCTAAAATCAAAAAACACAAGTGTTGGTGAGGATGTGGAGGACAAGGAACACTTGTGCATTGTTGGGATTGCAAACCGTTGCAAACTGGTGGAGAGATGGCTTAAGTAAGTGACGGGAATTAAAGAGTACACTTACGATGAGCACTGAGTGATGTATAGAATTGTTGAATCACTATATTGCACACCTGCAATATTACAGTGTATGTTAACTATAAGGCATTATTAAAATAAATATAAGTGCTTCTATTAGTGACCCCTTCTTGGGTGTTTAGGACTGCACTAGGTTCAGTACAGAATCATAAGCCACTTGAAAGCACTTAATTTCTATTCCAGTGATAACATTAGCCAATAAATGGTAACCCTTGGCCAGGGTTTTGTGTAAAGAAGGACCGCAAGTTTTCCATTAATGATGGCATTGCAATTCAAAGCCGAAAACACTCCACACTTTGATGCAGGCCCCTGCAAGTAAACAGACACTTAGCTGGCCTTGGGACTTTTGCACAAGAACAGCTAACTTGTAGGTTAAGTACTCGGGTCATTACTAAGATACTTTACATATGTACTTCTCTATAAAAAAAAATTTGTTACCTTGAATTATTAGGGGTGACATCTATCGTGTGGACCTGTAGAAATGTAGCTAATACATTTAATGTAAAATCAATACAGAACGGGAACTGATCTATTTCTGCTAATTGAAGTTTTAAGGCTTGGTTTTGGTTTTTTAATTTATTTGGGGG